TTTGTTCTGACTACTCTGCCACTGGGTGCAAATTTAAGTTTTGCATAAGCACAATGAAATGTTCTGGGATCCCCATTCTTCTCAGAGTCCGCCATAGTTTGTTGTGGTCCCCACAGTCAAACGCCTTTGCATAGTCAATGAAACATAGATAGATATTCCTCTGGTATTCTCTGCTTACCATACACAAACATAAATTCCAGATGAATGAAACATTTAAAATGTGAATAATAAAACTCTAAACCTATTAGAAAGAAAACATGTCTGGAAGGTAAGGAAGTCTTTTTTTCTCCCCAGTTTTTTGTTTGTTTTTAATTTTTTCATTCACTTTGTATTTAAAATTATTTTCGTATGTAAATCTCAGAGTGCTCCTTGGGGACAAGGATGGCCTAACTTTATCTTAAAAACTTTGGGCATATTAGTAAGGGAAGCTATTCTTGGAGACAGACATCATCCTGGGAAAGGTGAAGGGTCAGAGAAAGAGAAGACTCCCAACTAGATGGATTGACACAGTAACTGAAGCAACGGACTCTAGTGTGTCAGGGATGATGACGATGGCACAGGATGGGACAGAGTTCAGATATGCTGACTATAAGGTCACTATGAATAGTACTTAACTCAACGGTACCTAACAAGAACAGCCACATTCAGTGATATAAGGACATTAGTATTTAGCAGTAACATTAGACAAAAATCATTATTAAGAATTGTGCATAATGTGACCCAGGAGAAAGTACACAGCATCACGGTGTAACACCATGGGTTACTGCACTGGGTGGCATCAGTCCTTGTCACACCACTGAACCTCATCACTTCGCTCTCATGTCTGAGCTCTTGTCAGTCCAGTGAGCACTAGAGCCGTCTTGTTGTTGTTGTGTGTCATCGAGTTGCAACCAATTCATAACTGACCCTCCTGTGGATTTTTAGAGGCAGTTAATTGCACAAGACATTCCCCAGGGTGTTTCTATTGTGTAACCAAAGTGTGACTTCAGAGTGAAGGAGACTATACCCCTGTGGGAGGCCAGCCTGCCTGCTGGTGAATTCCTAGCCTGGGCCCTCCATCCATCCACTTTACTAAGCCTGAGGGTGGCGGGCATTCCCCTTCCCTTCCTCAGGAGAGGCCTTTCTCAGGCAGATTCTCTGTCCTCTTGCTCTTCTCTCCACATTTCATACTCTTCTCCCTTCCTGTGTCACTAGCAGCCCTGCCATTGATCACCCTTATCCTAAAGCATCTTCAGAGACATGTCACTCGAAGTGCAGCTCACAGTGTCTCCTGGGAGGCTACTGTCAGGGCATCCAGAGTCAGAGTCTTCATAGGAACAAGATCCCCAGGAGATTGGATGCACAGCAGAGTTTGGGAAACCCTGCCTGTGGGACATGGCCCATCTGCAGCACTCACTCTGTCCACTAATGGACTCCCAGAGAACGACGTTCTCTAGACAGTTGGTTCAGTAATCCCTCATGTCAGCAGGTTCTATGCTCAGGTTTCTGCAAATGTGAAGGGACATGCAGTTTGCCTGCTCTTGTTGGTGTATCACTCACTCATTCATTGCTATTGAGTCAGAACCAGCTCACAGCTGACCTTCCGTTAGATTTTCAGAGGCTGCAAATCGCACAGAAGGTTGTTCATCTTTTATACAGGGAGCAACTGATAGATTCAAACCTCCAGAGATGTCTTTGGATTAGCAGGCAACACCCTGTACTGTCATGGAATTATGCTAAATTACCAAACCATCCATCTTAAAAACAAGTCCTGGCAACCTTATGTGTACAAAGTAAAACTGTTTCATAGGGCTCCTACAGGTGTGACTATGTATAAGCAAATAGGCAGGTCTTTCTTCCAAGACACCGCTGTATGGATTTGAACTGCCAGCCTCTAATAGAAGAGTGCTTATCCCTTTGTGTTGCCCAGAAGCTCATGGTCATCAGGAGCCAGAATCAATGGCAAAAAAAGACAAGTTTGATTTGCAGAATGGAAGAAAGACCAGAGTATCAGTTCATATGGCCACATATGTTGTCCTAAAGGACAGAGTCATGCAAAGTCTCTTAGGTGGTTGGTTTCAGCCACAGTGCTTATGGCAGGCCATAATGTCTCAGACCTTTGAGGGTTTGGAAGCAGAACCATCTCCAGTCAGTTACTGTCACCAAGGGGCAAGTCTGCCATCAGCCTGCAGTTGTTGTCATGTCCCTGGATAGCAGATTGACAATTATGCAATCCATCCTCTTTGCCAGAACCACAAGAAGTTTCTAGCCAGGAGACATACCCACTCCTCCATCCTCGGGGCAGAGCAGGGAGTTTCTGAGGTGGAGATAGTGAAAGCTAAGTCTAGGTGACTTTCTGCTTGCACTTGAGAGAACCCAGTGCAAGTCTAGAATGACCCCCATTTTCCCAAGAATCTCTAGATTTTAGTACAGAGCAAATCCCTGGGTCCTCAACAAACCAAGAGAGTTAGCCACCCTACCTCATTCTCCTGATCTCACAGGGATAGTTCATATCACTTACTAAAGCCATCTGTGTAAGAAGGAAAAAATGGGGTATAGGAGCACAGGGTCATAAACATCTCTCTGAAATGGCTAGAGGGAGTAAGAATAGCACAGTCTCTCAGTGCCCCAGAGCAGAAAGCAGATAAAGAGCCCATAGCCCAGCACCATGGTACCTCTAGAGCCCCACCAACAGCAAGAGACTCATTCATTCATTGCTGACTCATAGACTCACAACTGTGGCACTGAGAATGGAGTTTATTAGGGAAGTAAATCAGAGAGTGGGGGAGGCAAAGAATATCACCCAATACAAGTCCAGATTTTAGCCCAAGTTCTAAGACACAATTCCTCAACTAGTCGAGGCCTGGTTTCAGTTCAGTAGTCAAATCCAAATAGTCCAACAAAGTTAGCCTCAAGCAGTTACAAGGCAGCTTCTCCTTCAAGTAACTGGCAAGAACAGGAAAAACTTTAACTGTGGCCTTTATCTCAGGGCTCCTCTGCTTACACCTTGTCACAGTTTCTCCATAGCAATGTCACAGTCTCTCCACCACCAGAGTCTCCCTCAAGTCATGCCACCACAAATCTTTCTTGCCTCAAGTCATGCTGTCCAGTGTGGGAAGCACTCTTTCTCTTATCCTAATCCCAAAGCTGTTGGTGATTTGCAAGACTATGCTGACATGCAAGACAATGCTCCTACAGTTAAGTAGCTGAAGAATAGAGTGGGCTAACTGTAATGGCTAAAAAAAGTCAACTTTTAGGCTAACAGTACATCAGCAGTCAATACATTTTTGCCATCAACAAAAAGAAAAACCTATCTATATTTAGATTATTTTATTTCAACCTAGAGGTCATGACTTTTTTGAAGAAAATGGAGTTTTGAAAGGTTCTTGCTGTAGGGTATAGGATTAGTTCATGTTTATTTATCCTTTTACTGGCAATAAAAATTCATTTGGGAGGATATTTATTTTATGAGACTTTTAGTAGACTCTGACTTTAGCCAAAATTAGGCCAGAGTACTAAAGAAGCATCAGAAAGGAATGAGAATTTCTTTCAGCGAGAAGTCTGGTAACTTGTATAATTTAACAACTACCTCAAATGACTTTTATCATCAAGGAAGTCTGGAAATTCTGATGACCTATTCCACCTCTGATCCACATCGACCATGCTTTCCTTGGAATCATCTGTTATTCCCACACCTGTTGTTGTTGTTGTTAGGTGCCACTGAGTTGAATACAACCCATAGAAACCCTATGGAGAACAGATCTGAACCTTTACCTGTACTGTGCCGTCCTCAACATCTCTGACACGCTGGATACCATTGTCAGTTACTGTGTCAATTTATTTGGTTAAGAGGTTTCTTGCCTGCTGAACCTCTGCTTTCCAAACACTATATCATTAGTCCCGTCTACATCTTAACCTTCTTACTTCTTTCTTCTTAAATGCTTGCAAGACAGCTACTTGCTATTTTGTATAATATCACTTTCTATTGAATATCTCATGGACTGTAAAAAAACAAAACAAAAAACCAAACCAAACAAACTGTCTTAAGGAAATGCAACCAGATTGCTCCTTAGAGACAAGGATGAGGAAACTTCATCTCACACGCTTCGGGCCTCCTGTCAGAAGGGGTCAGTCCTTGGAAAAGATACCATGCTGGGAAAGAGAGTGAGAATCAGCAAAAAAAAGAAGATCCTCAATGAGATGGATTGACAAAGCAACACTGAGCTTGAGCATGGCTGAGATTTTGAGGATGATATGGGAAAGGGCAAATTTCCATTCATAAAATCTGTGAGAGTCAGTCAACTTGACAGCACCTAACAACATGAAAAACTAAAGCATGTCTCTCTATACTTTCTCCTCATTAGTCCTAGCTTTTCTAAACATAAACAAGTTTATATTTTCTTCTGAGAGCTATAGAAGTATTTTCACCTCTTACATTACAGGAAACCTTGGGCATTTCTGAGAATAAAAACTGTTTCTTTTAATGAGAATTTATAATAAAATAAAAAAATAAAGGTTTGCTTACATAAAAGCATGGTGCATTGAATTTTTAAAATATCCTATATGTGTGAAAAATATCCAGACAAGAGCCTCTGTCCATCAGCCCATATGTCGTTAAAGCACCAAGTCTGAAGCTAACCATTCATCAGTCACTCCTATGGCTTAAGTAAATTACCATTGAATACGTATTTACTGAATTTTTATCATGTACTAACATTAAGCCATTTGCAGCGAACACTGGTGTAAAAGTCACCTAACTGGGTTTGTTTCAATTTCCTGTAAATTCTTTGGTGGATGAGCTCTGAGTTTTGTCTTCAATTGTGGTCTTAATGACTGGAAATGACTTAGAAGTTCGCTGGTCCGACATTTCAATCCATTCAAGAAAGTAAATATATGTGCTGTAAATCCTTTCTTTTAACTTTAATAACTACTAAAGGAGGCAATACTTTAAAAAAATAAATAACATTAAGCAAAACAAAAGCAGCGGAAGCAGATGTCTGAGGCGTGTCAGCAGGGCGGGCATGGAATCCTATTTCGATGAACAAGATTGTGAACCCTTGGACCTTGAACAGGATACCCGAACCAACGTCCTGCTGGAACTCGCCAGGTTACTTTTCAACAGGATAGACTTTGAAGATGTGGGGCTGTTAGTAGATTGGGATCACCACCTGCCCCTACCTGCAGCCAAGGCTGTGGTGGGGAGCCTCCCTAGAACACTCATCAGAGGCTGGTGAGGACACCGATTGATTCCCTGTGCTGTTTGGGGCAGATCTGCTCCTCAGGCCGGATGGTGCTCTGGTCTCCCCCGTCACGCCTAGGCAAAAGCACCCCTTTAGGAGTGGGAGCTGGGGGTGGCCCACAGCAGTACTCCTGGCCCCCCACTCCCTCCCAAAGAGCTCAAATACCCCACGTGTCTCTTGGAATTCAAGGAGGAGACAGCCATAGAAATGCCTTGCCATCACCTCTTTCACTCCAGCTGCATTCTGTCCTGGTTAAGCAAGGCAAATTCCTGCCCACTGAGCCACCATGAGCTGCCCACTGATGACGACACCAACGAGGAGCACAGGCGAGATAAGACTCAAAAGGAGCAGCAGAAATTCCGACTGGAGAACCTCCGTGGAGCCATGTGCACACGAGGCGGCCGCCACAGCTGAGTGCCAGCCCCCCCACACCTGCGTTCTGGGCCTTGAATCCACCTTAGAGGTTTCTTTACCAATCTGCATCTGAGTGCTCACAGACCTGGACAGGGGCTCAGCACCATCAGATTCTGCTGCTGTCAAGAAAGGTGGGCCGAAGCCCCTGGGCTGCACCCCTCCTAGCCCTCCACCAAGACTGCTGGCCTGTCTGCATTCAGGCCAATGAAGAGCTGGCCAGTGCTAAACAGGCTTGGCAACAGCTCACGGTTAGAAGGAAAAACGGGTCGGAGACTGGCACCTGCCCTGGAATCAAAGTTCACTCCAGACTCTGACCCAGGAGGGAAACATGACACTGTCTGACCAGGTCAGTCACTTAGACTTTAAGTCTTTGAAGGGGATGTGGCTGTCACCCAGCATCCTTTGCACACTGAATGGTGGACTCAGGACTATGTGGCAGGCTGTCCTCTTCCCCTTCTGCTCTGTCTCAGGAAAGCTGGCTTTGATCAGGCCCATGCTGATTCTACAGAACAGATTATAGACATGCAAATTAGAATTCTTTTAGTAGATATAAAAAAATCCAAACACCCCAAACCTATAATAAATTTTTTTTTTTAAAAGCAGCTATTCATTAGGCATATACATAGCCAATCTGTTTACCCTTAAAGATGAATCATGTACCCCTGGTATACTGCACGTCTGAAATGCTGTTGCCTCATGTCCATGCAGAAAATGGACAAAGAAAAATGAAGACAGAAGAATTGGTGCATCTTAATGGTAATGTTGACAGATAGAAAAATGCCTTAGTCTTTAAAACTCAATGCTATTGAGTCAGTTCTGATTCACAGTGATACTCCATAAGATTCTGTTAAAAATCATAACAGGAAACTCTGATGGCCCAGTGAGTAAGGAGTTGCATTACCAGCCCAAAGGCAGACAGTTCCAATCTACTAGTTGCTCTGCAGGAGAAAGATGGGGAATCCCCTCCTGTGTGATTTATAGGCTCTGATACGTTATGAGTTGTTTCAACAGCACGTAACAATTGTTGTTGTTGTTGTTAGGTGCTGTGTGATCTTATGAACAAAATATCTGAACTGTGTCCTATCCTGCACCATCCTCACTCTTCCTGACACAGAATCCATTGCAGCAGTCATCATGTCAGTCCACCTGGTTGCGGGTCTTCTTCTCCTTCACCAGTCCTCCACCCTTCCCAGCATCATGTCCCTCTCCAAGGAACAGATCTTCCTAGCAACATGTCTGAAGTATGTGAAGCAAAGTCACGTCATTCTTGCCTCCAAAAAGCATTCTGGCTGCACCTTTTCCGAGAGTATCTGTTCGTTCTCTTGGCCACCCATGAAATGTTCGGTGCTCTTCTCACACCTCAAAGGTATCAATTATTTTTCTGTCATCTTTATTCATTGTCCAGTTCTCAGACGCATAGCAAGTAATCAGAAAGACAATGGCCTGAATCAGATGCACCTTAGTCCTCAAACTGACATCATTAGTCCTCAATAATTTGGAGAGGTCCCTAACTACAGATTTTCCCAGTGCAATGCATTTCCTTATTTCCTGACTGCTGGTACCAAGGGTGTTAATTGTGGATCCAAGTAAGATGAAGCTGTTGACAGTTTCAGTCTCCTCTTCATCCGTTATGACACTGCCTATTGGTCCAGTGGTAAGAATATTTGTTTCCTTGACATTGAGAATACAATCCACACTGAAGACTGCATTGCTTGATCTTCTGCAACAAGTGCTTCAAGTCCTCCTCACTTTCAGTAAGCAAGGTTGTGTCATCTGCATCGTGCAGATTATTGCACATAATAATAACAAAACATAAATTATAAAGAGAGAATCAGCTGATTGATTAAAAAAGCACAAGGTGCGATCCTCTAGTTAGAACTGCAACTCCCTAAGGACCAAGCCACAAAATTCTATAAATTAACATTGTTTTGCTGTTGCTATTAAGTACCATAGTGTCGAAAGCAGCCCATAGCTGACCCTCCAGCAGGTTTTCAGAGGCAACAACAACAGTTAATCACACAGAAGAAAATTGCCCCTCCTTCTCCCATGAAGCAGCTGGTGGCCTTGAACCACATGCCTTCTGGATTGCAGTGTAGCTTCCTGCCACTAGGCCACCAGAGCTAAACCCAAAATGTGCCTTAGAAGTGAGAATGGCAAGACTTCATCTTACCTACCTACTTTGAACATGTCACCATAAAAACTAATTCCTAAAGAAAGACTGTACTTGGTAAAATAGAAAACAACCATAGTCTTCAAAAAGTTGGATTGACACAATATTGTTGTTAGGTACCAGTCAAGTCAGCTATAACTCATAGCAAGTTTTCCACAACAGAATGAAACCCTGCCTGATCCTGTGCCATCCTCATGATCTCTGCTGTGTGTAAGCCATTGTTCCTCACTGTGCCAATCTATCTCATGGAAGGTCTTCCTCTCTTCCTCTGACTCTGCTATTCCAAGCCTGGGGTAATTTTCCTGGGACTGGCAACTCCTGATAACATGATCAAAGCAGGAGATAAAGTCTCCCAATCTTGCTTCTGTGGCACACTCCAGCTTCACACGTCCTAAGATTTGTTTGCTCTCTTGACAGTCCATGGCATAGTCACTATCTTTCATCAGGACCACAGTTCAGAGGCATCAGTTCTTTGAATCCCCTTATTCATTGTCCAGGAACAGCAGTAGAATTGATTGTGATGATGTCACAGGATCGGGCAAAATTTCATTCTGTTATAAATTGCCAACTTCACAGCAACAGAAGACAACAACAGATAATATGATTAACTGATAGAATACAAGCACAGGGAGTATTAATATGTGGCACAGAGGGAGGCTAATGCCACCGATGAGAACCTTTAATGCAATCCCAAAGACACACTGTTTGAATCCACCAGCTGCTCTATGAGATGAAGGTGGAAAATCTCCTTCTGTGCAATTAACTGCCTCTCAAAACCCACTGGACAGTCAGTTATGTGTCAGTTCTGACTCAAAGTCAAACAACAACAGGATAAAACAAGACAGAAGACATTTGAGCTTTCTTTCATTGATTTATTCTACAATGAACTATTATCCCCTCCATGCTAGACCCTAGGTCTCAATTTTCAGACACAAGAAATTTTAAAAAGTGATAAAATCTACTCTGTATTTATATTTAAATATAGCTAACTTTTTATGAGGCATATATAATGGGAAGTTTGGTAAAAAATATGTTTGTTATTGTACCTATCAATATTGCACTTTTTTTCTTTTGTAGCCAGTATTTTAAAAATTTTCCAAAACCGTTTTTAGCCCCTAAAAGAGTTTATAGTCTTTTGTCACTAAGGAAAGATCCATACACTGGTGTTCCAAGACTTACACAGAGTGGGAGCCTTTTTAAGAAAAATAAAAAATATAAAAGCAGATTTTTTTGGTGAGGCTCACTAGATTAATGCTTAAACTGCTTTACAGAGGCACTTAGAAGCTGTGTGACAAATTATCCTTTTCAGGGGTCATCTTGGATCAAAAAGACGAAGTAGGAACCTATGACAACAGTTCTGAAAAGAGAAGATGAAAATTCACAGATGGACTTATAATTTTCCTTCTCCTAATGGAACGAGATAAGGAAGGCTGGAGAAGACACAGAGAAGTTTAAGAAGCAGGTCTGATAGGGAGTGGTATTTGATGAAGAGGGGTAACTGAGTGGATCATAACAAACAAAGGTAACATTAAGAACAGGAATCTGAAGACATCAAAAGGAACAGCATATGTATGATTGAAATCCCAGGGCAGGGAAGCATTGAAAAAATTGGTGAAAGAGATACTAGAACAAAACTTTCCAGGCATTATGAAGAATTAGGAAATCTCTATTCAAGAAGCTCAGTGAGCCCCAGACCAGGGGCCAAAAGAAAAACATCAAGACATACTATAGTCAAATTTTCTAAAGTCAAAGATAAGTCTAGAATACTAAAAGCAGCACAAGAAAAACAAAGACTCACATACAAAGGAGAACCAATTAGACTAAGCTCTGATTTCCCAATAGAAATCATGCAAGCAAGAATTATAACAGGATGCCATATATAGAAGATGTTGAAAGAAAACAATTGCCAAAGATCCTGCTCCCAGCAAAGCTATCCATCCTATAAGCTATACTAAGAAAAGTCCTTCACACAGAAACACCCAAGGAAATGAGAAGGACCACAGTAACCAGAAACAACAGAACAAACAAAACGTAACAGCAACACACCAAAAACGGCAGCAATAAAACCTGGCATGCCAATAGTCACAATTAATGAGAATGGACTAAATGCAACAATTAAGAGAAAAAAAGTAGCAAAATGGATAAACAAATAGAAACCATTCATCAATATACTGTCTACAGGAGACACATCTAATAAACAAAGAAAAAGAAAGATTATAAATCAAAGGGTGATGACAATTCTGAAGGCAGCTGGATTTTTATTTTCCATTTCTCATTGAACCAAGAAAGGAAATGCGAAAAATTATATTTAAATCCCTTAATTATTCTGACCATTCATTAATAACTGTAAGAGTTTATGATTCTGGCTCTAAACCTAAAGGCAACTACATGGATGCAAAGAAACTTTCTTTTTCAAAATATATTCAATCAAGGAACAATAAACTATTTACTTTTTAACATTTGTTGAAAAAATGTAAATAGATTTTTCTTTTATCTATAAAAAAAGACCAAAAAAAATAAAGAAGCCAGAGCCACAACTCAAACAGATGTATGTATACCCATGTTTATTGCTGCATTATTCACAGTAGCAAAGAGTTGGAAGCAACCCAAATGCCCATCAATAAATGAATGTATAGAAAAACTACGGTATACCCACAAAATGGAATAATATGAAACAATGAAAAACAATGGAATACTAAAACTTTACATAGCATGAGGGAGCCTTGGGGACATTATGCTAAGTGAAATATCCCAGTCTCAAAAGGATAAATACTGCATAGCACTGCTGTTATAAAATATTACAGACCTAGAGGTGGTGGGGAAAGAATGT